CTGAATGGACTGAGAGAACTAACAACTTATAACATCACAGTTAGAGCATATCAACAATTACTGGGACCTGCTAGTACAATCAAAGTACAGACCTTACCAGGTATTGCTACTGCATTTAATGTACTTCTAACATTATTGATGCAATTTTATAGTTATTAATTCAATCAATTGGACACTAGTCTCATCCATTACACAACTCAATAACACTCAATATTGTATCACTTGCATTACAACTACTGATATGAATCCATCAACTGATGTTTACTGGTTAGTGAATAGAGTGATGAAGAGTAACTCAATGTATACATTAATTGATGTCCTGACATACAACAACACACTACTGGTATATCCTGATCCACTGGGAGTGTCAGTCACTGTTACCTGTATAGCAATGATTGAAGGAGTCAACTACAGTCAATCTGTGACATTACATGGTATGAATAATTGATTATACTTTAATCAATATTGCTTTATATATTTTCAGCTCCTAATGGTCCTCCAAATAATGTGAAAGGGTTTATATTAAATGCAACTAGTATTAAAGTGAACTGGACCAATTCATCAGAGGCTATTGGATATGTGATTGAGTATACTACTGAAAGTGTAACAAGGAATGTAGTATCTACAAGTAAAGATGAAATTGTACTAACAGATCTCTTACCAATGAGTACCTATACCATCAGTGTGTACTCATATATAGATCTTCCTTCAGTTAATAGTACAGTAACAGTGTTAAAGTTTAATGGTGAGTTATTATCATTGGCAGAATGTAATTGAATTGATATCTGTTGTAGTTCCTAGTCCAGTAACTAGTCTCTCAGTATCTAATGTCTCAACTACTGGTATTACAGTGAACTGGACTATTCCTAGTAGTGATGATTATCTAACATACTGCACCATCTCCTATACTTCATCTTGTCCCCAGTTATCATCAGTGAATGAGACAGTCTCTGTTGCTCCTCATCAGTCCACTACAACATACAGTTATACATTAATAGGTCTGTATAGTGGCATGAACTATACCATCACAGTGAGAGCTGGTAATGTACTAGGAGGATCTGATCCTAGTTCAGTTGAAAAAGGCACAATGTCAAAAAGTGTGCACGTTTTTTATTAAAGCTAATTATTATGTAACATTATATTTATAGCTCCTACTGGTGTACCTACTTCTTTGTCTTTATTACAACCAATATATAATTTCACTTGGAATGAGGTCAATTGTTCTGAGCGTAATGGTCTAATCACAAGCTATACAGTGATGATCAGTAACAGTAGTATCACATACAACCTCACCAGTACTGAGAGACATATTATATTAAATGATCTAGTATTTGGTACTGAGTATAACATCAGTGTAGCTGCTGTCAATTCTGCTGGAAGAGGTTCCTTCAGTGATCATATAATTGTAGAGATTGGAATAGGTATGCATGCTTTAAGTTTTTTGTGAGAATCTGTTTCTTTATTTAGTACCTGGCCCAGTTGGTTCAGTATCCAGTATCATGGACACTACATGGGCTGTTATCTCATGGAGTATACCTATTTATATTCCATCAGACTATCCCATCATTACATATGAGATAGGATATCATGCCTTAGAGTCTGGTAACTGTTCAATGGTATATGATGATGACATTACCCCTCAAGTATTGAATCTATTTAATGTATCTAGTAACAATACATTTACTACCATCACTGGTCTGAATAGTAATACCTGTTACATTCTTGGTGTACATGCATACTCTGATAATGGATACGGGGCATGGACAGTTACTATTAATGAGACTCTAGAACTAACAGAATCATCATCTGTACTAATGTCACCATCATCTGCACAAATATCGTTATTTACAATAGCATCATCGTCAACCACAAAACAGTTATTTTCTACAGTAATATCACCATCATCTACTGTAAAGTCTTTATCATCATCAGTAATACCAACATCAGGTATGAGTATAGTCCCCATAATTTAAAAATCTTACTTGTTTTCAAAACAGTGGCTGCTACTATAAAGCCTGAAAGTAAGTTTTTTATTTTGTATGAAGATTTATATAATAATTATGATTACAGGTACTTCATTCATTGTTACTATTGGAGGCTCAGGGATTACTGTAATAATAATAGCACTATTGATTGTGTTGATTGTTATAATTATAGCTTTTATAAAGTAAAATCTATAAGTGTCAAAAGTGTTCATTATTAGTTTTTTAACAGAAAAAAGAAGTCATTGAAAATTAGCAAATACAATGTTAACATAGCTATGTCAGAAATACAAGGTAGTTATGATGTACTATTGAAACTATTACTAATTATTATATAGATAATGAGAGCCTAACCAAAAATGATGAAGAAAAATATTGTGAAATAAATAAAGAAGAGCCAAGTAAAGAGTATCAATTGAATAAATAGTTTTGATGCATAACTTTAGATTTATATGCAGCAATACAAGAAGTGCCAATTCCATCAGTTTATGAACCGACATATACTGATGTAGAGACTGCTGTTCTCTCTGTCTCTAATTTTGATCCACAGATTCCTCTCACTCTACCTATATCACTGGAGGATCTAAATACACATGTAACCAGTTGTCATAGCAATGGATTTGAAAGCCAATACACAGTAAATAATTCATATATGTACATGTACTGATGATTATAATAGAGCCTCAAGAGTGGAGAGGAAAAGCCATGTACTGTTGGATACAGTGAGGAGAACAGCCCTTTTAACAGATTTAAAAACATCACAGTTTGTATGCAAATGCATAGTTAAAAGCAATGTGATTACTCTATTATTAGATGATGATAACAGGATAATACTGGCTACTAATCCTAACTTGGATATGTGTCAAAGAGAATATATTAATGCTAGCTATATTGATGTTAGTTTAATCTTTATACTGCATTATCTCTAT